CGACTCTTGGATAGGCACATGGATGATAGTAAAATGTAGGGTATGCAGGGTAGTTTGATCTTAGAGTAGAATAATAGGTCGGCACAACATCATGGACCAAATGGCCTGTACTGTGCTGTGCTGTTCTATGTTCTATTTGGTCCAAATCCCTCTAAACCCTTCTCATCCATGTATTTTTCCAAATGTTTTTTAAATGTTGCTTCTTTACCTGCCTCAACCACTTTCTCCGGCAGCCCATTCCATGTATACACCACTCTCTGCGTGAAGAAGTTGTCCCTCAGGTCCTTCTTAAATATATCCCCTCTCACCTTAAGCCTATGGCCCTCTAGTTTTCAATTCCCCATCCCTGGGAAAAAGACTATATGCATTCATTCTATCTATGCCCCTCATGATTTTATACACCTCAATAAGGTCACCCCTCATTCTCCAACGTTCCAAGGAATAAAGGAATTAAGCCACAAAGACTATCACATGGGTGGAGCAGAGAAGTATGATGCAAATTCAGGTTTTGGGTCAAAGGTTGACTTCAGTCTTCAGGTAGCACCTCTCTATGGTTCTGCATTCTAGGTGGAAATGCTCTCAAATTATTCCACTCCTATCTATCTAATTATGGCCACAGAATCACTTGTAATGACTCCTGTACCTGCTTCCATACTGTAATCACTGATGTCCATGAGGATCTACCCTAGTGCATTTGAATCTCTATGTCATGCCCCTCAGCAATATCATCCAAAGGCACAGTGTTAATTTTCACAGGTACAATCTTAACACCCAGCTCTGCCTTCCCACCATCAATCTCAACTTTCTCACTGTTGTTAAATTACCAGACTGTGTATTTGACATCCAGATTGAACAGCAGAAATTTCTTGCAATTAAATATTCAGAAGACTGAAACCAGTGTTTACAGATACTGCTCCAAACTGTTCCCTAGCTACCTATTCCATTTCTCTCCATGGCAACAGTTGGAGATTAAACTTGTGCATTTGCAAACTTAGAGTCACATTTCCTTGCAAAATGAGCTGCTGACCTCTTACTTCTGACATCGCAACGACCACCTATTGTTGTGACATTGCCCACCATTGTCCCTGTCTCAGTTCATCAGCTCCTGTAACCTTTGTTCATGCTTCAGTTACCTCTACACCTAACTATTGCAAAGTGCCTTTGGCATTGCCTTTCACATTCTACTTCCCTTACCTCTGCAATTCATGTCTTTTCCCTTATTATCTCTAATTTCACCATTCTGAGTTGGCTCCCAGTCAAGCTGTGATTCTCAAATTCTCAGATTTAATATCACATGGTCTCATCCTTCCCTCCTTATGTCAACACTTCCAGCCTCTCAATCCTCTGAGATATCCGAACTTGTCTAATTCAGGTTTCCTGTACATCTCCAATTTTAATAACTCCAGCAATGGTGGCCATGCCCTCAGCTGTCTAGATTTCAAGCTCTAGCTCTGTACCCCATTTTTCTCCATAAGCCAGTATCTCTTTATTTGACTCAATGTTATAATTTTTATTATAAAGCTCTTGTGAAAAGTCTTGGGATATTTAATGATAAGATTCCTTTATAAATGTAAATTGTTTTGTTGTGGTCAATCAGTATTGATTATCTGAGAAGTATCTATTAAAAGTAACACATAAATGGAAACAAGACGCTCCACTGACCCAGAAATTTTAGCCACTAAGCTCAATTGAGTGTAAGAGTCCACATAGGTAAACATTAAAAATGTACGCCATAAAATCTGGCTTCTCAGTGTCTACTAAAAAACCTTATCCTAACATCAGGGTTTCTCCAGCAACCACTTTTCCCCAGTCATACAGAAATATGCATTTCCTTTGGTCCACAACATAATGAGGAATGTGAACAGAGGTACCATCAAAAAGGGCAAGCTCCTGAAACAGTAAAAAAGGCTCTCAACAGAAGACTAAATTCACCTGATATGATCAATGAGCAACTCTCTTATCTCAACTTCACTGAGGAGCAGTGTGTCAAACATCAAACAGCTTCACTATGGACAATAGCAGTGAAATCTACCACTTGCAGTCACAACTGCACAACCTCAGAGAACGGCAAAGGTGACATTACCAGTGATTTTGAAATTAATTCCAACCATGATCTTTAATCCATCCAGCTAGCTCCATGCTGGAACTGGCATCATTTTTAACATTGCATGTCGTGCCATCTACTGTTGCTTAAAGGAGGTCAGGAGACTCTGTATTCTATGGTAGATGAATATATTTAATGCTTTCTTGCCAAAGACAAACAATTCGAGTGAGCACTTGGCTTCTTGAGGATTGGGAGCTTCCCTGTGGTGTGAAGTATTATTGATCCTGCCGATGGTGCAGATGTTGCATCTTAACTGGGATGTACTGCAGCAGAGAATGATTTCACTGCAGTACTGGCTGGTGTGCAGCCACACATCCACCTACATATCATACCAATCCGTGCAGCAGTGAATGAAGCCTTCCTTCTGACGCAATCCACTGCCCCGACTGAGTTGGGGTTGAACAAACCAAAGAGTGGCTGTTGGGTGTACAGGGCTATCTTTTGATGAAATCACTCTTGATTGGTCTTTAACAGTTCCTGCTATATCTCCATGCCAGTCCTGGTCCAGTTAATCAGCATCTTGTTCTCATGCTATATCAATTGACATTCCCATTCAACATTTGGTTTCTTGTATGTCAGCCCTGATGAGTGGAAGATGAAAAGCTTTGACATTGTAATCTCTTTTAGCAAGGTTTGAAATAAACATTCAAAAACAGCACCCTGAAAGCTGACTGCACAGTAATTTAATTGAGTAGGTGCCATGATGTCTGCATGCTGCCTGCATCTGAAGCAAGGAGCCCAGGGTATTTCCACACTGCAGCAATGGGGCCTGTGTTAATGGGCCTTGTCCAGTTTCCCAGTCACAGACATCTTGACAGTATAGCATTAGCAGTGGGCTTCTGCTTTTGGCTACTAAGGCAAAGAATTGAATGGAGGTATGGGATAGAAGAAAAAGCTAGAAGATATGTTGTTTCACACCATTTTTTTAGGCATTCCTGTTCATTTTTGGCAGTCTTTAACTTGTTGAAGATGAATTGCTTCAAATCCAGGGGGAGAAGGGGTAGATTCTGTGGTGCTGAATAGACTGTTCCTGGAGCCGCAGACTCTGCCGCGGGTGAGGATGGTGGTGGGTAAGACATTCTGGACTCTGCATGCTCTATCTGCTGCTAGCCCTGGGCCTCCACATGTTCCATTCAATGCCCCTTGGTGGTTGGTGCCTTTGCAGATGCTTCTTCTCCAGACTTTACATTCTAGGGCAAGCGAGATCCACATGTCAGTGGGGATGTTGCTTTTGTACTGTAAAGCTATCAGGTTGTCCTTGTCACATTTTCCCAGCCCTCCTAGTGATCACTTGCTATTGCAGAGTTTGGAGTAGACCCCCCGTTTAGGGACTCTTCAGACCTGCCCATCACAGCTAGTCATGTGTGATCAGTGCCTCGAAACTGGAGATATTGACCTGTGAGAGGGCATGTGTATTTGTATGCATTTATGCTGGTGATAACTCTCCAGGGATTCAAGATGCCTGCTGTACATGGTCCATGTTTTTGATGCATACAGGAAGGTGCTCTGTAGACCAGGAGCTTGGTTCTGGGTGTGAGGTTTCAAACCCCAAATACTCTGTTCATCAGGCATCCAAAGCTGTGCTGGAACATAGGAGTCAATGTTGGATTTCACTGCCAATGTCTGCTTGCATGGAGGGGAGACTCCCGAGGTGTGAGGAAATGATCCACATTGTCCAGGGACTCACTATGGATTTGATGGTGGGCAGGACAGTGTTGTGTGACAGAAATAGGCTGGCAGAGAACCTGTGTTTTCTGAATATGTAGTCTGAGACTCATTCCATTGATGTCATCTATGTACTGCAGCTTGATGACAGAAGTTGGGGGGTCTTGTTTCTGTGCTGGAGGCATCAAACATGAAAAGAGTTTCCTGCTTGTCCTGTAGGTTAGCGTGGAGAGCTTCATGGAAATGGGGTAGAGTGTTTCGGAGAGGAACAACGGGAAGAGCATTGGTGCAATGACACATTCCTACTTGACCCCTTTTTGCACACATATTGGGTTTGTGGTGGATCCATTGGTGAATATCATGGCTTGCTTTCCCATGGCAGACAGTAGGGAAATCCCTCTGTGGTGTTCACAGTCAGACCTGTCTCATTTTTGAAGATGGTCATAATAACAGTGTCTTTGAGATCTCCGGTATGCTCTCTTCCTCCAGACAAGGATGATGAGGCTGTGGATTCATGTCACAAGTACGTCTCTGCCATATTTTAGTTCTTCAGCAGGGTTTCCATCTGCATCAGAGACCTTGTTGTTTTTCAGCTGTCAAATGTCTTATCTGACCTCACAGCAGGTTGGGTTGAAACAGCCATCCAAACGTTGACAAAAGAAACATCAAGGCTTCCAGCATTCCAGTGGTTAGTTCAGAGAAGACTTTGATGCATTTCAAAGTAATTACATTGACAGCAATTTTTTTATTCATATTGATACTCTGGATGAAAGCATTATTCTACAGCAGTGCTTTCTATCACCAAAACCCGAAAATACAAATTGCCTGGAAAGATTTTTAAAATTTTCCTCATAATTTTGTAATGTTTTACTACAACTCAAACTGTGTGGTCTTCAGACATGACTTGGCTATAAGATGAGATCTAATTCTGTAATTTTTGACATTTTCCAATCGCCAGTTATATTACCTATCATGTCTGATTTTGCTGGGAATGACACAATAATAAATTGACAGAACTGAACAGTAATTGAATTCCTGATATTTAATATTTTAATTTTCGATTGTCAAATGACGTTTTAAGATAGGACAGCCACTCAGAGCAGAATTCAGTTGAGGAAATATTGTACATATCTGAATGTTATCACCTTTGAACAGATTCACAGTCTACTCAGCTGAAAACAAAGGGACCTGTAGAAAGTTAGTATTCCTGCCTTTAAATGTGCTCTTTCTTCCTTCCATATCTCGTCGTGCAACATTCTGTCAGATTTAAAGCGAATTGCTCCCATTTTGACATCATTTGGTTAAGTTGAGATAATAATAAATCAGAAAAGATAGCAAGCTTCAAAGTACCTGAATCAGATTTCTGGTCAGCATTTATCTTGCTGTAGATCAGCAGAATACCTGGAGCAGTCCTGTAAATGATGAAAGAAAGAAAACAGTAGGAGATTGTGAGAACTGCATGGAAATTCAGGACTGTGATTTGTATTCTCACAAATATTTACAGAATGTAGGGAACTGTCTGAGCTCTTTTTATACTTGGCTATTTATAAAGTTAGAATAACACTGATAAATACACAAGCCTTAAAAATTATGGTGCAACCTGTCTGTGATTTCATGACAGAAGATTACTAATGACACCAGAAGGTCGGGTGATCAACATTTTTCAATATTTGGTGAGGGAGGAACTGGCTATGCTGGGACTAGAGCATTTACACAGGGGCATTCAGGTGCGGATTCATAGATAGTGAATACTAGACCAAAGGGTTCAGGTCAAACCACTGAAGGAATTGTACTACTGAGTATTTGTGTCTCTAAAATCTGAAAAACAGCTTGTATTAAGAAGCAATTTATCTACAAATTTCAGTTAAGTACAAAATTAAGAAGAACCATGCATTTATTATTAAGAAAGTTATGTATTTGTGATATGTTACTTAGATATCTAGGCCACAGTAAAATCCTTCAGTGATCAGCTAGAGATTTAACTTTCTTTGTTCATTTTGATGTTTATATGCTTTGAAAACTGATGGACAGTATTTTTCAGATGTTTGATAATAAAATCATTTATGCAATAGTAATTAGATATTTTCGTTCTGAAGTAGCAATTAGTTACTAATTAAGTTTTACGGAATTATATTTAAATGGTATTTAATTATACTTAAAGATTGTGCATAATGCCAAAATCTGTCTGCCTTGAATCTTGAAAGGTTTTCTGCACTGGAAGTTATCAAAGCAACTTGTAATTGTGCAACTAAACTGAATACTCAGACAACAATGGTACCTGAGCTCTCTGGACTCCTGGTCATTATAGGTAGATTTCCTGCCACCAGCTTCCTTTTAAGTTGGGATCTACAGGGTTTGCTTTGTCTAGTATGGCGGAGGAAAATCATGAGCTAATCTAACATGAAGAGGCTTTTGTCTTGAATAAAATGTAGTTTATTGCATGATAGCAATCATTTACAAGTTACATAGATATGATCAACATTATTACGAGCATAGCCAGTTCCTCCCTCACCAAATATTGAAAAATGTTGATCACCCGACCTTCTGGTGTCATCAGTAATCTTCTGTCATGAAACCTGAATGGTAGGTCTGCCTCCTTTGAGGCTTTCCCCATTGGAAGCCTTATGACATTATTAGATTGGCTGGAGCTTAATACAGATTTCAGCCTTAACTCTTTCAGAACTACACAATCTCTCCCTGAAGCTTTTTTCCCATAATTACCATTTACATAAATAATTACATTTACCACCAGCTTATCTCCCCTACAATGCTCTGACTTCATATATTCAGACAGTCTGACATTTGCACAATTCTTATAGTGTGCGTTCTATGTGGACTTGAATGATTGGTGGTTCTTTACCTTAAGGACTGGTAACCTTGTTTCTGTAACAGTCTGGAAAGTCTATTTCCTTTGGAGGGCCTTCCATCTTCTGAATATCCTTTACAGAGGACATCATTCCTGGTGAACCAAGCAATTGGTCTATTACATTTTCCAAAGGATCTTTAACCTTCTGATTTTCCTTCACAGAGGAATTCTTTCGAGATGAAGCAGATAATTTCCCAATAGCAATATCTGGGAAACGTTTAATCTCACAAATGTCCTTCATGAAACAGGCATTTTCTTCCTTGCAATATTTTGGGTCCACAGACAATTTCTTCCTGGTAGGGGTTGTGTTTTTGACTGTACCCTGGATCTCTAAATGAGGTAAGTTCTTCTTGAATGTGTCCTCCATCTATGGATGTGGGTAATCTCAATTTGGAGTTGGCTTCCATTGAGTTGTGTGCAGCCCATCTTCAATCCGTGTAAGCAAATCTTTATTCTCAATTTGCCAGCCAATCTGTGCCTGAGATTTGTGGATTCTGTTTTTTAACTTGTCGATTTCTTTAGACATTCACCCTCTGTGGTTGCTTTACTGGGTAAAGATAGAGTTTTATAAAATCATGAGGGGTTTCGATAAGATGAATGATAGGTGTCTTTTCCCTAGGGTGGGGGATTTCAAGACTAGGGAGAATATTTTTAAGGCAAAGGGAGAATGATTTAAAAAAGATGAGGGGTAATTTGTTTTACACAGCATGGTTTGTACGTGGAATGAACCTCCAGAGGAAATGTACAGTTACAACATTTAAAAGACATTTAGATAAGTACAATAAGAAATGGAGGGATATGGGCCAACTGCAGGCAGGTGGGACTAGTTTAGTTTGGGATTATGATCAGCATGGACTGGTTAGACTGAACGGTCTGTTTCCATGCTGTAATACTCTATGACTCTATGTGGATACTGAGGATTGTAATAAGAGGTAAAGAAAAGGGCACATGTCCCAGTGAAGAGTGTTATGATTCCAGCTGATTTTCCTATCAGAGAAATCAGATTCCAAGCAGAAACCTGGCTTGATTGATGATATATTGATTTTAGCAAAGTAGCTTCTTAATGCAACATAAGCACACAATACTGCAGATTTTGTTTCAATGATTAAGCAAGGTTTATTAGTAAAATAAATGAAGATAAAATTGCATAAACCAAACCATTTACCAACAAAACGAATTCAAAGATTTTTAAACACACAGCAAAAATATAATCCCATTAATCCTAAAACATTTCTTTATAAATACAAGCCCGATGGGTTGCATTTAAACAGTAGAACTAAAATTGCAACAAAACCATTTACCTCCCTTGCCAACAGCACTGTGGGTGTATCTATCCACCTCTTGCATCCAAGAATTACAGGAGTTTAAGAAGGCACCTTCTCAGGGGCAATTAATGATAGGCAATAAATGCTGGCCTAGGCGGCATTGCCCTATTTTATGACAAATAAAAACAGTGGAGAGCATTATAGAGAATGTAGCAAGTTCTGAATATGGTAACATGATTCTATACAACCCACTGAAGACTTTTCCCTTCATAGACTGGACAGCATTTGCAAAGCTGATTGTTATCTGCACAATCTTATTACTCCAATTTAGTGGTTTTTGAGGCACCAAGTACAATTTGAATGGAGAAACCTCAAGCTCTTCCTTAATTGCTCTCAAGAAGAAGGTGATAAGCTGCCTTCTTGAACCTCTGCAGCCCATGGGCTGGAAGTAGGAGTTCACCTCTTTTGTCAATGTTTGGACCAAGTTTGTTGTAATAATAATAATTATAATAATAATAATATTAACACAAACCAAGCATCAGTAAGGAGACTGTTACTCAATTGGGGTTCCTTGCTTCCACTGTTGATGACAGTTTCCATCATTTTACTGATGAGTGTTGGAAGAGCTGGTAATGGGTTGGATTTGACCTGTTTTTGGTGCACAGGGCACACCTTTTTGCCAAAGCTACATTTTAATTGAAAATTTATATCACAATTCAGTTCACTGCTTTTGCACACTGTATTGAAAATTGATTTTACAGGCAGGTGTTTTCTACACAGTTAATCATCGCCTTAAAATATTGGCTGCTCTGGCCTTTGAGGTAACAGAGACACAAAACCATGCAGTATAATACACTAAATTTTAATCTGGATCAAATGGCCTATGAAGCTCCAGAGAAGAGAGTTAAGGCAATTTTAATTCCACTTTTCAGGGACATCAAGTCCATAGCATATAAGTAGTCTCAATTTAATTGACAAATTTGCTTGGGGAGATTGTGAGGGTACACTGTGTGGCAATGACAGCTTATCACTGATACAATTAGGGATTTTTTTGTTCTGATGAACAACGTATATCCTATATGAATTAGGAAACCACAGTGCTACCCATTGTAGAATGAGAAAATCATTATTTCCAATGATATGAAGTTAATGCTTCTATAACAATATGCCTGAGAGTGATCTATTACATTTCACTTAGTGTCCAAGTGGCTGTAGTAACATGCAATTTTATATGCACAGTATTGTTATAATTATGGTTCATGACAGTAGAGACTCCAATTTACATCTCATCAGATAAGTGACCAGGAACTTTTGCCACTTTTACCTCCTGACATTGGATTGTATTAGAAGCATATACACATTGTTAAAAACCTTTAAAACAAAACAAGTCTAAAAGGAATGAATTCTGGTAAAGCATTAAAACCTACTGATTGCTTTCACAATTTAGGCAAAGACTTGTAGGGAGTTGGGGTAATGGTAGGTGTAATGATATTAATGATAAAAAAAAAGCTTGGAGGGGAATGTATGATGTGTGAGAATCTGAAAGGATTAGTGCTAACGAAGACATCAAGCACCACTAAATCTGATGATATCATATAGATCTTAGTGGAAGAACGGTTTTAGATCTTGATGGAAATAGATGTTCAATCCAAATCATCCACATAGTTTTAGTAGCATGTTGATCAAATAAATGCAATTTATACCTGATTGCTATCATGCAATAAATTACAAAAGCCCTTCTCATTCAGCCATTAAATTGTTTTCCTTCACCACGCCACACCATTGAGTACTTTTCACCCCAAACTATAAGATGGATAGTGGCAGCAGCACTCCCTTCAGTATCTTTCATCAAGGTGACCGTGATGAGGATCCATCAGCATATGTTAGGCTCTTTCCTCCATTGCACCCTGCCTCTGTTTCCCATTTTCTTTCTCTTTTTGCCACTCTGTCTCTGCATCTTTCTCATTTCCTACTCTTGTCTCTCTCCTTTTCTGCTCTGCTTCTCTCCACCTTTCAAAAAAAAAGTCTGAGTTCTCCAGGTTTTTGTGGCACGAATCATGCCCCAGAGTGAGCTGCCTCTGACATAGGATGATGCAGAGATGCACAATGCCTGACATTAAAGGTGAAGTTAGGTATTTCAAGAAAACCAATCTGAGGACAGAAGTTCGAAACAAAATAACTTTAAATGGGACAGCATAGTGTGAGGATTGCCTGTATATTGTTTGACTAGAAGAAAATTCACATACGCCTCCTGGCCCGCAAGTAGCGCTGGAAAAATAATCATGTTTATGTATCTAGCCCTTCTCATCACCTTTTCTCTCCAGAGCAGGGAAAGCCAGCCAATATTAACTAAAAATGGAATGCTGTTAAAAATGTGGGTGCAAAGCCTCCTTTAAAGCTTTCAGTGAATGCCAGATCTCCCTGAGATTTGTTTGGTAATTCATCACTTGTCTCACCTCAATTGAAAAACAAAGTGAGACCAAGATATGTTCAGTTCCGTTTTGAAATTTTTATGAATTTTAATTTCCAGTCTAGTCCAAATATACCTATTTTTGGGGCTTAGAAGCTCTTTGCTTAAACCAACATTTGTATATCTGAAACAATGTTTTTTTTACATGTTTTGTTCTTTCTCAGGATGTGAGCATCACTAATGTGGCTAGCATTTGTCACCCATCACTAACTCTGCCCCATTTTTGAATTTTTGCAGTCAGTCTGGCACAGGTACTCCAACTGTTTGGAAGGAAGGTTCAGAAATGTTAACTCCGATTTTTAATTCACAGATGCTGCCAGACCTGCTCAACTTTTCCAGCAACTTTGATTTTATTCAGAATTATCCTGTCAGGGAAGGGTGATAGAATAATGAATGGCTTCAAGGGGACCCTGCAGATGGTGGTGTAACCATGCTGTGCTCATCCTTCTTGGTGAGTTTGAAAAGAGCTGGAGAGAAGTCTTGGTGAGCTGCATTTGTAGATGGATCCTACTATTGCCACTGTGCATCAGTGATGGAGGAGTGAATGATAAAGCTGATGGATAGGGTGCTAATCAAGCAGGCTGCCTTGCTCTGGATGGTGTTAAGATTGTTGAATGTTGTTGAACTGTACTCATAAGACCCTAAGCCATTTTTTTTTTCAATTAATTTGTGGGATGTGGGCGTCGCTGGCTGGCCAGCATTTCTTGCCTGTCCCTAGTTGCCCTTGAGAAGGTGATTGCCTTCTTGAGCTGCTGCAGTCCTCCTGCTGTGGGTTGACCCAAAATGCTATTAGGGAGGGAATTCCAGGATTTGGACTCAGCAACAGTGAAGGAATGGCAATATATTTGCAAGTCAGGATGGTGAGTTGCTTGGAGGGGACCTTGGAGGTGTTGGTGTTCCCATATGTCTGCTGCCCTTGTCCTTCTAGATGGAAGTGGTCGTAGGTTTGCAAGATCCTGTCTGAGGATCTTTGGTGAAGTTCTGCAGTGCATCTTGTAAATGGTACACACTGCTGCTACTGAGCGTCGGTGGTGGAGGGAGTGGATGCTTGTGAATGTAGAGCCAATCAAGTGGGCTGCTTTGTCCTGGATGGTGACAAGCTTCTTGTGTGTTGTTGGAGCTGTATTCATCAGGCAAGTGGGGAGTATTCCATCACACTCCCAACTTCTGCCTTGTAGTTGGTGGACAGGCTTTGAGGAATCAGGAGGTGAGTTACTCGCTGCAGTATTCCTAGCTTCTGGCCTACTCCTGTAGCCACTGCGTTAATGTGGTCAGTCCAGTTGAATCTCTGGTCAATGATAAACCCCAGGATATTGATAGCGGGGGATTCATGATGGTAACACCATTGAATGTCAAGGGACGGTGGTTAGATTGTCTCTTGTTGGAGATGGTCATAGCCTGGCTTTTGTGTGGTGTGAATGTCACTTGCCACTTGTCAGCCCCAGCCTGGATCTTGTCCAGATCTTTTTGCATTTGAGCATGGATTGCTTCAGTATCTGAGGAGTCTCGAATGGTGCTGAACATTGTGCAGTCATCGGCGAACATCCCCACTTTTGACCTTATGATGGAGGGAAGGGCATTAATGATGCAGCTGAAGATGGTTGGGCTGAGGACACTACCCTAAGGAACTCCTGCAGAGATGTCCTGGAGCTGAAATGATTGACCTCCAATAACATAACTATCTTCCTATGTGTCAGGTATGACTCCAACCACCAGACAGTTTGCCCCCTGATACCCATAGATTCCAGTTTTGCTAGGGCTCCTTGATGCCACACTCGGTCGATTGCATCCTTGATGTCAGGGGCTGTCACTTTCACCTCATCTCTGGAATTCAGCTCTTTTGTTCATGTTTGAACCAAGGCTGTAATGAGGTCAGGAGCTGAGTGGCCCTGGTGGAACCCAAACTGGGCGTCACTGAGCAGGTTATTCTGAGCAAATGCTGCTTGATAGCGCTGTTGATGACACCTTCCATCACTTTACTGATGATCGAGAGGAGACTGATGGGGCTGTAATTGGCCAGGTTCGGGTAGGTACCAGTGTTGTAACTGTACTGGAAGAGCAGCGGCCCACCGCAGAGCATGGAGGCCCCCTGTGCTGGTCAGCTGCGGAGAGCCCTTACACAGACAGCAATGTTTGTCTTTTTAACTTGCTTCTTCTTTTCTAACCTATGGTTATATTGTGTGTAGCTGTAATGTAACTTTACTTTTCTTCATTTCTCTATTCTGTACTCTGTACCTAAGATTGTACTGTGTGTTGGTGATATTGTTACACTGTAACTAATCTGTAACTGAAGAATCTTACCTATGTACCTTTGTACCTAAGATGGTGCTGTAAGTGGCAACTGATAAAATTCTCACTGTACTCATTTGAGTACTTGACAATAAAGCTAATTCATTCATTCAATTCATAGAGGCGGATATGACAGCAAATTTAAGAGGTATTTAGACAGACACATAAACTGGCAGGGAATATAGTGATATGAATGATATGCAGGCAGGTGGCATTAGTTTAGAATGGCATCATAGTTGGTGCACAGTTGGTGGGCCAGACTTGTACTGTTCTATTTCTGTGCAGGTATCAGTAAAATGTTCACTCAATTTAGCTTATCTAGAGGATTATAAAGATTCTGTATGTGAGGACATGTTAGTATTGATACAGTTACTTTGTATTATTTCACAAAAGTTGGATGTTGCTGGCTCGGCCTTGCTTTTGACCTTCTTGCCCCCACGCCTCTCCTCTGTATCCTGAGCACCAGAAACTATCAGCCATTCCTGCCCTCCACAAAACCACTTACCTGGTTCTTTGGTCCACAAGATCTTGGTTGTCCTACTTGGAGGAGCCAGGACCCTCTTGTGGCGCTGCTGAGTGCCAGAGCTGTCAGCCTCTGACTGGCCAACAGCTGCACTCGATGGGAATTCTGCTCCTGAGGATTTGCCCTTTAAATTGCCTGATTGGAGGAAGATGCAGTAGGCTTTGCTCTGAAAAGATAGTTCAGGTGTCTCAGCAAATCTTAACAAGCGAGCAACCATCTCTTGAAAATGGTTACATGTCATCATCATCTAAATGTTATTTGCTGGCCATAGTCAACTTACATCACGCAATTTGCATTGATGTGAAGCTGATACTTTTTCATATCAATTGTAACAATGGACAAGTGGTCTCTGCGATCCATTTTTGTTTTGTTTTGGCGTGCTTTGTATATAAAAGTACACCAAAGTTCTCGTTCTAATTGAACTTTCCTTCAAATTCTCAATAATTATTTATTGACTCCTTCCAATAAATGCACAACATTGTTATGCAATGGTGGTGTTGAGTCACTCAAAACCTTCAATTACTATGATTTCAGCTCTATTTTTAATTTTAGTTTTAATTGCCATTGTACTAATTTCAGTTACTACATAAAATACAGGAAATTATTTATAATGGGAAGTGATAAAATAGCTAGAGATGATCATGTAAAGAGTAAATGATATTAAATTTAAAATATATGTTTTTAGCTTCTTCAAATTACAAAACTGATTTATTTCATATATATTCATGCTTTGTAAAATGAAGCATGAATAATACCTAATTCATTTTGTCAATTTTCTGGCACTTGATAAATCTTTTCAAAAGAATCATTACATTTGTATCAAATAATTCAGCTTATCAAATATTTAAGTGACCAATGTGTTCGCTTAATCAAAATATTCAGTTTGTGATCACAAACCCTTTCAACATTTATCTTGCAGTTAATGCAAACCTCTAAAGGTTTTTGATGCTTATTATTGTAGTCACATATATAAGAAGTTAACTATGCTACACTATTGAATTTAGAAATTCTAATTTTAAAATAAAATGCCATTATTCACTGGTGACAAAATTAAAATGTATGAGTGATACCAGTTCATCCAATTGTGACAAAAAGGTTAGCAAATCTAATAATGACAATCAGCTAACAACCTGACCATTATTTATGATTCTATTTTGCAAGATATATTTTATAATATGCGTAATTTTCTATTTGAAATTGGCTTAATTATTCAGCAGCATTTTATCTAAGGAAAAATCATTGTTGAGATCTGGAGAGTAATGGGTTTAACATCAGAAAGATACGTGATGATGATGTAAACATGCTGTCAGAGTCACATGACTAGATGGCATGACCTGGAAAGAGGCAGAGTCTCTTACCTTATGTATAGATCTGATGTATGTATATCTTCAACTGTAAATGAAGAGCTAGTTCCTGGAAAAGAGACCACAGATTCCAGCAGCATATTTTAGGGAGACAAGCTAACTCAAATAACTCTGCACAACCCAACCCCACACAAAAGAAGATCTATTATAATATACAAGGTTTAGTGTTCAGTGTTGTACAATAGTACAAAAACACCTGTGGGTTCATAGCATGTGTTTTGCAATAAGTGTGTTTTCTTTAACTGAAAAAAATAAATAAAAATTTATTGATTTGATATTATTTAAAAACATATTGTCAGTATGAGAATCACTGGTAGTATGCTCCAGTGTACTCTCGTATCTTAGCATTGCTTAATGTCAGAGCATTGACAGCATATACTTGGCACTTCAATTGGGTCAAACTACCAAGAATTCTGATCATGTAAGTATCCTATTTGCTGAAGCAATGTGTAAATCATAGGGATGCCGTTGTAATAATCTATTTGAATCCTAACCACAGAGGATCACTTTTATTTTTCTTTATTTCTTTCCTTCATGGGATGTGGGAATTGCTGTCGAAGCTCAGCATTTGTTGCCCATCCCTGACTACCTGCTGTTGTATTATGGCATAGATACCAGGCCAGACAGGCCTGTATCTTCAAGACAGTCACATAACATCATAACATGTGATGTTATATTATAAGGCACCTGCCTTGCTCACAGTCACTCTGTACAATAGTGGAGTGAGTCAGTTTCTGCGTGTAATGTGCAGTAGCATTTGTAAACATGAAACCCAGTCTATGTGAGTGTGTATGTGGTGTGACTGGTTAGTGTTGCAAATAAACTTTGGATATTTGACTCAAGAACCCGATTCTTTGTGATATAAGTTACATACACTAACATATACAGCAAACCATGAAGTGTATCACAGTGGCATCACATGGGTATGAGAAGATGGTGACAACAAGTGTAGCCTAAAAGCTAACAGCATCAAGTGGGCTATTCATGACAGATAGCTAGTGCCAGTAAGTGGATGCTGAAAGTATGAAAGGTGGCAACAACTTGTGGAAAGCTCCTTTCTAACAGTCATCCATTAATCTGTCAGAGTTCAAAGCTGAAGTTACAATTATAGCAAAAACTCAACTGATAATGAAATCTAAAGGCAACAAATCTGTGCTGAAGCATAATGAGTACTATACTTCACTGTCCAAATCAAAACAAAACACAAAATGGAGTGTTGTTGAACAAAAAGACCTAGGGACTCAGCTACATTTTTCTTTGAAAGTTGTGTCACAGTTAGACAGCGTGGTGAAGAAGGCATTTGGCATGCTTGCCTTCATTGTTTAAACCATTGAGTATAGGAGTTGGGACATCATGTTGCAGTTGTATAGGATGTTGGTGAGACCACTTTTGGAGTATTATTTTCAGTTCTGGTCACTCCACTATAGGAAGTATATTATTAAATTGGAGAGGGTGCAGAAAATCTTTACAAGGATTTTACCGAGACTGGAGGGCTTGAGTTATAAGGAGAGGCTGGATGATTTGGGAATTTTTTCACAGGAGCATAGGAGGCTGCAGGGTGACCATATAGAGACTTATAAAATCATGAGGAGCATGGATAGGGTGAATAAGCAAGGTCTTTTCCCCAGGGTGCAGGGAATCCAAAACTAGAGGGCATAGGTTTAAGGTGAGAGGGGAAAGATTTAAAAGGGACCTAAGGGGCAACATTTTCACACAGAGGGTGGCATGTGTATGGAACGAGCTGCCAGTGGAGGTGGTGGAGGCTGTTACAATTACGACATTTAAAAGGCATCTGGTTGGGTACATGAATAGGAAGGGTTAAGAGGGATATGGGCCAAATGCTGGCAAAAAGAACTAGATTAATTTAGGATATCTGGTCAGCATAGGTAAGTTGGACCAAAGGGTCTTTTTTCCATGCTGTTCAACTCTGTGACTATGATTCCACCTATTATCACATTCGAGGTACTTTAGGAACCAGACTTGGTGCAATGAGGAAAATGTGATCCCGTTGATGGAGCAGTAGAACATGCCTGCATGGGTGCTAAACTCTCTTGGATGATTCAGGTCTCACAAGATCCATAGCTGAGCTGGTCTATGGTAGTCATGCTGCAACAAAACACAAAAAAGGAAGTTGTTTATTCCCTTCCTACCCAGATGCTGCGCTCTGTTCTGAGACAAGAAATCATATTTCCTAATTCAGGGCCTTCAACTGTGTGAGGACAAGTAACAACAAATCATTCAACTTATCTCTTCAGGGGACTGTGCCTGGAGATAGGATACACAAGAATTTTAATCAATGATCACATGATTGACACATACTGCTACATTAAATGCAGGCTTATCTACAAACAACATAACCTGTGCTTTGGAGATCTCTGGGGTTCCATTTGTATCCCACAAGGTTCTAGTCCTTTGACCTGACAACATCTGCCCGGAATCATTGAAACAAACACCCTGCTGGGATCATGGGAATGCGGTTTGATTTGTTTTTAAATGTTCTTCAGTGGACACACTCTTGAATACCCCAGCTTTTAACTGCAACTATTATATCTGAGAACGATGAAAGGATTATATCACTGTAACTGACCAGCAGTTCCAATTAAGAGGATTTGAATCGTAGCTTCAGAACATTCGCTTTCTCCCAGCGGTTTTCCTGATTGTGGAATTCAACGCAGCTATAGGTCATGGAGAAATTACCTCAATTTAATGCAGACAGACTTTTAAAACTTATGTGCAATGTGAGATTTGTACACATGGATGACTCAAAGATCATGGTCAGTGATTCTTCGTCTACCAGCATCAGGTCATTACAAACGAGAAGGGAAATTAAGGATCAACTTACAGAATCTGGAAAGATTTGTGTGGGTTATGTTGGGCTGAATAATCCTTTTGTCTCTTTCCTTGTCTTCCCACCTGCCTTCTGTCCACCAAAGAAACTCTTTCTGTGCAGCTAGAGACCATTTGACTGCTCAAACTGCCCTTCTTCACTGCCACCTATTGCTTTGGAGGTCCTGTTACATGTCCACAAACGAATGTGAAAGAGACAATCATTGAGCAGTCCAGGTTGTTGTTGACCAGTCGGATTGAGAGCTAGGTGCAATTCCAGATTTGGACTTCCAATGTGGAAGAGGGGAAGAACCAAAGATGCCCTTACCTCGAGCTAGCGCCATCTTCTTGGGGGTCCCAATAAGTAAGAAGAAAAACATACGATCTTTGTAGGAGTCCAGCCGTATATTGTGCTTTGGTGGATTGGGCAAATGTGGGGAAGTTTATGTCAAATTTTCTTTGCCTCCCTCCAGTGTAGCACTTTAAGGTGTAAATAGTAATTGCAGTAGCTTCATATATTCAAAGAAAGAACTGATCAAAACCTATATGTTCAAAATGGTTTTATTATGAATCTGAGTCTATTTTACACCATGTCTTCTGTTCCATTGAAGTCAATCCAAAAAATGCAGTGCACAATCAATTGCTGGCTCTGGATCAGTCTGCTTTGTATTCTGTGTTACCTCTATTGTTGATCATTTCAATGTACTGCTGGCTTACCTCCTTTGTTCGAACTTACATATTTTTTTTGGCCATCCATAATTGTTCTGCTGTCCATGTCCTTAGTTGCATGAAGCCTGGTCATCCACAATCCCAGTGGTAAGTGACATGCACTAGTTCCTGTTAAGCAATGCCTCAATTTTCAGATTTCTTCTTTGTTTTCAAATGCTGTCCCCATCTCCTGGCTCCCTCATTCTGTGTAATCTTCTTCTGCAAGCAAATCCTCTGATATATATCTGCATTCTGGCATTTTGAACATTCCTGATTTTAATCTTTCTGGAAATGATGGCAGCTGTATCATCAGTTACTACAGCAATAAATCTGGAATTTTCTCTGTGAGCTCCTATTTTTCACTTCCTCGCCTTCCTTCTTCTAGATGCTCTTTGAGGCCAATTTATTGACCAAGCTTTTACTCACTAGCCCTAATTCTTTTGGATAGGTGTCAAATTTTATTTGCAACTGTGGAAGAGCTTTGCAATCTTTCGTTAGATGAAGGTTGCTGCAGAAATAGATGTTGCTGTTGCTGTTGATCTCAATGACTTTCACAATTATTTGTCAATTTTTCTCTTTGAAGATGCTTTATTTCAATTCATCACTGCTCTCTTTAGGCAATGATTATTTAGCATGAGTAGCATTATAAAGTAGGAGAGGAGAAAAGTGATGGACAAAAGGTTTAAATGGTTAGTAGAGATTTGACATGAACAATCTGAAAAGGAAGCCTATTGTTGCTAATATGATGACAGGGAAAGTAGGTTTGCGTTTAACAAAAACCAGCTTTTATGACTCAATTGGAAGCAATCCATCTGGTAATCCCTGATAACAGTTTGTGAATACTGTCAACATTAAAAATCAAAAAAAAAAGAAAAAAGACATAAATGATTACACAAAAAAATCAGACTGTGGAGTTGAATCAGAATTGCATCCTAAATGAGTATTATAAATATTCATAATAGAATGAAATTCCTGGGTATACAGATTAAAAACAGAGTCTTGGTGCGTTGTTTATTTTACAGCCCTTAGAACTGTTGATAAATGGACTGAATTTTTGTCCCTGAAAAAATGAGATGCTTCAGAACATAAAGGATTTTTATTTGCTCCAATGCACAGTGCACAAAAAGACATTGCAACAGTCTTGCAATTACTTCTCCCTAATGTAAGATATTATTTTTTTAAAAAATAATTCCAAGATGTTGGGTTCACTGACTGGCCAGCACTTACTGCCCATTTTTAATTGCCTTTGAGAAGACAATTTTAAGCTGCCTTCTTAAATTGCAGTGTATATACACAATGCTTTTAGGTAGGGAATTCTAGGATTTCAACCCAGCAATACCAAAGTTATGGCAATATATTTCCAAGTCAGGTTGTGAGTGACTTTGAGGGGTGAGGTGGTGGAATTTGCAGGCAATGATGTTCCCAAGTAATAGCTGCCAATGTCCTTCTAATTGGAAGCAACGGTGGCTTTGAAAAATGCTGCCTAAGGAGCCCAAGTGCATCTTGTATATGATATGCAATTCTGCTACTGGAAGTGGTGGGAGTGGATGTTTATCGCTGTGGTATCGATCAAGCAGGTTGTTTTGTCCTGGATGGTGTCAAGGTTTTTTAATGTTCTTTTGATAGCAGGATCAAATAGTGGCATGCCATTCCTCCTATTTTTCTTTCATGAAATCTTAGAATGATACAACACAGAGGGAAACCTTTCAGTCCATTGTTTGTGGGCCAAGACTCTGGGAGGGCTGTCAAAACAGTCCCATTTCTCTACTTTGACCTCATGGACATGTTTTTTGCTTCCCTTCAAATACTTACCAAATACATTTTTGAAGACGAATATTGGATCTGCTTTCACTGGTGTTTTCCAGATGACAATATCTCACTGTATAAGCAATGTGTTTCGTCATGCCACTTTTGGTTCTTTTACAAATCACGTTAATTCTGTGTTTGTGTGCCCATTGCCACAAGAAACAGTTACTCTTTATTTACTTCACCAAATTGTAGATGGTTTCAGCCATTCTGAAAATATCCTCCTAAATCTGTTCACTCTCGGAAAAACACCTTCAGGTTCTCCGATCTCTCCATAACTGAGGTCTCTTATTGCTGGTGCCAACCTTAAGTGGATCTATCTGTAAGGCCTTGACACCCTTCTGTAGTGTGGTTACCAACATTGAACACAAGCCTCCCCTGCTGAGCCATAACCAGTGTAATAAAAGCATTCGGCATAGTTTGTTTGCTTTTGGATTCTATGGCCAGAATCTTCACATTGCAAATTTTCAGATGTTGAATCTATTTATGGACCTCCATTCCATTTAATGCAGTAGTGCACCTGACAGTGAAATCTTAAAAAAGGCCAGGTTCGCTGTCAAATTATGGATGGCAGGCAGGATCCAGCAGCACCAGAACACAGTGGTGGACAACACTGAGACGACAAGGAGGCACAGGAAGAAGTGTAGTGGTGACCAGAGACGGGCATGTCCCAGGCTTTTAGGGTGAGGAGAGTTCTGAAAGCACAGAGAAAGGGGATAGGAGGTTTAGGGAAATGTGTTTTGGAGAGCTTTGCTGGGGAGGAATGGAATGGAGAGGTTGACATTTTGGTTGGATCCCTTGGTATGCACAGGACATCCTCAATTGATATGCCCCCCTTTTTTCTCAATGCCTTTTCAAAGAAGCTATTTCAAAAATGGCCCTCATGATCTCACCCTCCTGCTACTTCCAAGAACTGTGTGGCAGTGGAGATAGACTAAACCCTTCTTTGCCAACTGGCCAGGCAGTTAAAAGCCTCAGTAGGCCCCAGGACATGTGGCCATGGGAGTTTCCCCTTATTATGGGAAGAAGGTTGGTCGAGCCACCAACATATTTTCTGTTACCCCACTACTGAAAATGTGCCCGACAGGAAGCTGTTAAATACAGCCCTAGAAGGAAGATGGAAAAAAAAGCTTTTCAATTCAAGAGCTGTCAGAATCAGAATGCTCTTGCTGAAAAGGAGATTGAAAATATTTCCAGCAATAGTATTGATATAGAATGAAACAGTGGCAGACAGAAAACAGTGATGTGGGATTAAATATAACTGTGTAAGAGCCAACACAGGCATTGTGGGCAGAATGGTCTCATTCTCTGTTACAAGATTCTATGATTCTAATGTGGCTAGTACTTATAGGACAAGAGTATGAAAAGCAAGCAGCAAAAAATTATTTCCACTGAAATTGATGCAATTTCAGCCACATGCAACTTTAACACTGATCAGTGGTTTTAATATGGTTGTTTATCACCAAAGAACATAGAACCTGAAACTGGGGCATGTGTGAAATACCTGATAAATAACCAAAGCAAATCAAAAGGTACCAACTCAGTGAAAGGTTTGTGCTTGAACCAACTTTCTGTCAGCTCAAAAGCTGTCTCTTAAGCTCATGTGAGAGACAGATTCACTAAGGAGAGTGCACACACAATTCTTTTCTAGTAGTTATGTATATTTAATAAAGCAAGCCTCTAAATATCCAAAACCTCCATTATTTTCACATTTCTGTTATGCTTATTGATGTATAAATTACAGACATTCAAAGATTTCAATGTAATTGTGAAAATAATATTTTAAATGTGTCAAATGCGCGTTCCTCAAATTCTGGTTTGTTTTGGATAAAATTATCTCAGTTAGGCAAAGATCAGTGCCTGAAAAATTGGATGAGCATAACTTGCACTGAATGGATAAACTCCACATCAGTAATTATAAATAAACTTTTGTAATTCAATCTGTAACTCTGGATCCGTACTTGTATCTAACCCAGACTGGCTGTTTTCTGAGAATCACTGTTATAATCTCATGTGGTAATACAAAATACAAGTGCTATTAGTGCTTTGAAACTTAATGTTATTCCCTGATACCAATATGAAACTGTCAAATGTGATCATCAGTGTTTTTCTTTTAAATTATGGGTATTGTAGCAGCATTTACAATTTGTCTGTATTTTTGCACATTAATTTCCGCAAAATAGGAATTTACTGTTGAGCTGAAAAAGTTTTAAGATATTAAATTATTTCAATCCATTATATTTTATTATCTGGCAGGTTGTCAGAAAGTAAGAACCTCCTAATTTTTCTGTTATATTGCAAAAGAGCAAATTATACAGTATATATCTTTAGATGACAACTACAGAATCATTGACAACAACTTGCACTAATAATGAACTTCATTATCAGTTTAAAAACCTAGCTCCTCTCATATCTTTTGTAAATTGTATATGGATTTTTTTGGTAATTTTAATATTTTAACCTTCTCTAATTGTCGAAAAATGCTTGCTTCTTCATTATTTGGGAAAGAATAATTCTTTATAATGTCTTCATGCATCATTTTCTTACTGAAATAGATTCTTCTCAGTCTCACATCTACAAATGCTAACATTTTCTTCATCTA